GATGAAAGAAGCAATATGATTGGCTGTTGGTAAACTGATTCCAAACTGTGAGGGCATTGTCACATACACATATTCCTAATGAAATACTTCAAGGTGATAGTGGAGTGCTTCGCCGGAACATTCACCTTGAAAATTCAAGATGAAACTCAGCATGTGCCGAGATTTGCTGCTTGAACATTGGTTGAAATCACGCCCTCGGTGGTGAATTTAAGAGAACATATACTGATTCATACTAGTATGACATGACAATGGAGGGAAGTGAGCTATATATGGTAGGATGCTGTAGTAATGAATTAAATGAATGCAGAATATTTATGTGCTGCTGCAACCCGTTTTTTTTTTTTGCAAAGCTACATAGACGTGAAAAAATAATTGTTTTTCGAAACTTCTTTGTTGTTCATGTGCACGATGACTCGTAATATAAATACCATAACAGCAATATGTTTATCGTTTTTTATGTTTTGATCAAATAATAGATTGAAGAATGAGGGCATGATTTCCGCACGAGCAGAGTCGGTCCCAAGTGGGATTAAAAATTTCAGCAGATGCAGAGATCTCTTTACGTGAACGTAACAATGATGTAACTCAAATACACATAAAGAGATGTGATGTAGTGTGACACCTGATGAACTACTTTCATGCGAGTAACAGATAACAACCAGAGAAAAAGCTGAAAGAAGTGGATGAAATGTGTTTATTTTTGTTGAGCTACTTGTTTGGCCTTTGATTGCTCTAATTGTGCCTGTAGTTCAGCTTTAAATGCCAGCATGCCCAGCTGAGTGTGTGATGCTTCATTTAATGCCTTGGACCCAATGCATGCCTTGTACTGTTCAGTTGTCAACTCAGGATCGCAGTTCTTAATATGATACAAATGAAAAATACCACGGTCTGGAACACGAATGATCGAAAGATTGGAATGCAAGTATTTTCGATAAAGATGAACATCTTCCATACCCCAGCCTTTTATATCCATATCAAACCCTTTAATGTTGACAAAATCTGATCGAAACTGGCACGTCATTCCATAGCCAAAATCACGCCAAAATCCAGTATCTTTGTGAATACGAAGCTGGTCTTCTTCCAGCGGAATTACCACTTGGTCTTCATACACAATTGCAGGGTTGTAAAGACTGAAGACAATTGGATAGTAAACTTTTTTACCAGGTTGGGAATGTATGCGACAACGCTCTAAGAAATCAGAGGAAAAGGCAATATCAACATCACAAAAAAATAGAAGTACATTTTCACCATGCCAGCTTTTCACACCTTCTTCAAGCCCACGACCTCTGGAGAAATCTCCTTCCAGATTTATCAGTTTAAATTGCTTGTAATTGTTTTTAATAGAAATACCTTGAAGAGTGGTGTGGATTTCATCAAGTCCTTCTTGGCCAAAATACACAATTGTTAAAAACACATTTTTGTCTGTCTTGATACAAATTTCCTCAAATCTTTCCATAAAGTTATAAAACTTTTCCAGCCTGCCAGACAAAGGAATAATCATGTTTATCGTCTGTTTTTGTGGCTCTATAACACTTGTTCTGAGTTTTTGTATCGGAGCGAATGGTCTCAGCAGTTCAATTCTATGATAGCGCCCATCATGGTCACTTTTAAAAAGTAAATCATACAGTGAACCAACAGTCTGGTCAGTACGATACAGTCCTTCTAGAAAATTATCCACACTGAAAACTGGATGGTCCTCAATTTCTGAGTTCAGCATTTCTAGGGCAGAATACACAGCTTCCACTAAGTCATCCTTCTTATCTGCTTTAGGTTTTTCAGATGGGCGGTGAGCAAGCCCACCGTCAATATGATAAACAAGTTTTGCTGTGAAACTGTTAAAGATATTTAATTCATACTCGTCTTTCATTGGTTGGTGGGTATTTGCTTTTTTAATTTGCTGTTGCATGTAGTCATTCAAAGCATGATAATTTGTGTCAATCTTAGCTATGGCTTTGTTTTCCTGCAACTCCACCCCCTGTTTTCCATTCTCTTCCACTTGTTGGTAGGCCCCAGCTTGTCGTATTATCTCCGCCTTCAAGTCTGTAATTTGTTGTTTTAATGTTTCAACCTCTGCTCTGTGCTGTTCATCTTTCTCAGCAAGCTGTCCTAAATAGAACTCTTTCATAGGCATTTCTTCATGGATCTGGTAGACAACCTCTACATCATGACCTTGTAATCTTTAGTTGGTGGGATGACAACCCTCCTTTTAGAACAACTTCCAAAATAAAACAAAGCCAATAAAAACATAACCATAAACACAAGTAGAATACGTAGTGTGTTCTGGTTAGGGAAGAATGTCCTCATCCTCATTTTGATTTCACCACAAAACTGTCTTTGTCTGATAAACTGTAGATGCAATATGTAGTGTGTTGAATCTTACATTCTGGAACAAAAATAAAAAAATATTTTAATATTAAAAGTGGTGGACCATACCAACATTTATAATTTTTTTTGTTTTTTTTTTGTCAAAAACACACATGGAATAGGATGAGTAATGAAGTGTTCGTTCGTTATTGTCCAAAAGACATTTGGTATAGATGCAAGATGAAAAACAAGATATTTGCATATACATTGTATATAATTGAATAAATATTGAAAGGTACTAGAACGGGAATTGTACTTAAATTCTCATACAATAGTGCATATGCAACTATATCATTGAAATATTAATTATTTGATCATAGAAAAATTTCTGTAATTTAAGTACTAACAGAGCAAATATGATATTAAATCTTTGATTGGTGACTGAATATTTTATTACTGTAAATTTTTGAAAGTTCTCTTTGTGCTCGTCATATTAAAGTGGAGCGGTTGGAGAGCGTGTCTTTGAAACTTGAGTCCCAAGTGGCATATACAACAGATTGTTTATTTACATCAAATTCGAACACGTGTTGCGTGACGACCCCTCTGGTTTGAGACATAGCAAAGAAAAACATAGATCACAAGTGAAAGCATGTCCTAGTTATCACATTTTAAACAAACAAGATGGCCGCCAGTCAGCCAAATTTGATCAATTTGCAAATTGAACTGACATGTACATGTATCCATTTATGACATGCTAAATATCAATGAAAATGATACATGGGTAACAGAGATATAGTAATATGGCCAAAAATAAAAACAGCCGTTATTCGGCCATCTTTAATCTGATTACGAGACAAAGTGACATGTCTGATGTATGTGCCAAATACGAATAAAAATGGTACATAAATCTTGGAAATATAGTAATAAGGCCAAAAAGTCAGATGGCTGTCAATCGGCCATCCTTGATCCAGCTTAAATAAAGTATTTTACAGTATTGTTCCAAACCAATTGTTATGCAAAACTGTCACAGAGTCATTTACTTTAAAACAGCCGGAACTAAATGTAATAATAAATACCTCATAAAGCACAAATGTTAACCAAAATAAGTACACAAAAGTATGATACGTTTCTCATTATGTTATTTAATAATAAATAGAAGTATGCCCACTAATTATTAAAACTTAGTGTTCACAGTGAAAGCACATCAACATTACAATTCCCACTACATGTAAGGATATTTTAAAATGTCTGTACATGTATCTGTGTTGCATATGTAAA